CAGGCCGTTCTGGATGTGAATTTTACACATAACGTAAGAGTTCAGAACGGGTCATTCTGGATTCGAAACGGGCCGTTCCAGCGATGCCTGATGCCTATAAATAGAGAGCTCTGACACTCTTAAAAGCACACTTTTCATTTTCTGACTTCTTTTTCTTCTACACTCTCTGAGGAGCAAGGGGAGCCCAAATGAAGAGACCAGCAAGATCCAGTTTTAGCGTCTTCTTCTGCTTATCCGGGTAAGGGGGGAGTGAGAAACCTCGCTCGGGATGTGGGAATAATTGTTGGGTAGTCGGATTGGCCCCCAATCCCTTGCCTGATGCATGCTCCTAGGAACAGGCAAAGTACAAATGTTTTCTGTTTTGATTTCTGATTCTTCTGTTGTACTCCTTATTGAATGAGATGTATGAATATGTGATTAATTTTGAAAATAGAAAAGTTTTGATATGAATTAGAGTGCTCTGTGGGTTCCTATGGGAAACCCTATGAGAAAACAGGCAAAATATAAATGTTTTCTGTTTTATTTTTTGAATGTTCTTTTACGTTCCTTGTGTGATGTAGGGATGGCAACGGGGCGGGTTTGGTACGGGTTTCATGATACCTGTCTCCGTCCCCGCGAGTTCAACCCATCCCCGTCCCCGTCCGCATACCCGTTGGGTATAGATTTTCATCCCCATCCCCGTCCCCGTCGGGTATCGAGTATACCCGTACCCGTCAATTTTTTTATTTTTTATTTTTGGTAAAAAAATGATATTTTTAAATTATTTTTTTTATTATATTATAATTATAATTAGGTTATTTCTTTATCTCATATTATAATAAATAATCATACATAAAAAAATATTAAATTTTTTTAATATAATTAAATTGAAAGTGAGTATTAAATTAAAAATGAGAACGGGGACGGGTACAAGTACGGGTACGAGATGGGTAAGTACATACCCGCCGTACCCGTACCCGTACTCGATTTAATATATCAGGTTTTACTCGTACTCGTACCCGTATCCGGTCAAACCGGGTATTTCCCGTCAAAGTCGGGATGGGTTCGGTATTACCCGCGGGTACGAGTATATTTGCCATCCCTAGTTTTAACGTTATGATATTATTCATTTTAAACTTAAACTTTTTAAATATATGTTTGTTGATTATTTAAAAAGTCTAATACTGATTAAAAAATATTAATATTCTTATAAAATTGTGTTGTTTGTTCCTCCTATAGGTAGTGTTTGTTTCCACTGATTTACTGTTCACGACGAACGAAAGGCGAAGAAATTGCACTTTTGTTTCTACTCAGTTACGAGGAAAGAAAGGCGAAGAAAAGCGAGAGAAGGAGTGTTGGCGTCTTCTCATTTTTGCGAAGAAAAGAGATGAAATTCACGTAAGATTTGAGAAAACTCGATAATACTCCTACCCCATGCATGCAGACACTGTGCCATTGTAGGTAAACTTCAATTTTCTTTATACATGAGGGACGACATAATTGATTATGGGGCATACATAATCGATTATGGTGACACATAATCGATCACCATAATCGATTATGGGCCAGCATAATCGATTATGCATGGCACATAATCGATTATGTGGCATATTTTCGCTTCCAGGCGTGCCCAGAACGGGCCGTTCCAAAATTGGAACGGGCCATTCCAAACTACCAAAACAAGAGTAATTTAGTAGCCTAGAATGGGCCGTTCCGAAAATGGAACGGACCGTTCCGAAACTGGAACGGGCCGTTCCAAACTAGTAAATTGGCTTAAAAATCCTAATTGAGAACGGGCCGTTCCAAATTGGCTTAAAATGCAACCCAAATTTGTAATTTAAAAAATTTCTTAATTTTTTAATTGGTAAAAATTAACTTATACAATTAACAAATGTATCTTCATTTCATTCTAATTTATGTCAATCATTTATCAATTTTTTTAATTTATTAATTAACTTTCAAAAAATTTATTGTACATTTTTTTTATATTAAGAAAATTCTATTATTTAAATATTGACATCAAAAAGAGAAAATATAAAAAAAAATAAAGTAATACATGTTTATAAAATTAAAATAATAACACTTTCATAAACATTAATAAAATAATGTTACAAAATATAATTATCATAATATATTTTGTTATTATTATTTATTATTATAAATATTATTATTTTCATTTTTATTAATATTAATATTATTATTTATTATAATTAGTATCATTATTATTTATTATGATTCTTATTATTTTTCTAATATTTATTATTATTCTTATCATTATTTATTATTTTTTTTAATATTATTATTATTTATTATAATTAGTATCATTATTATTTATTATGATTCTTATTATTTTTTTAATATTTATTATTATTATTATCATTATTTATTATTTTTAATAAATTATACCTATTAATATAATTTTATTGTAGTTATTATTATTTATAATAAATAATATTATACTCATTTTTAATCCAAGAGTAAAAGTATAAATTACATATTTATCTATTAAATTTTTAATTTTTATCTATCATTAAATTTAAAGCAAATATTTAAATTAAATTATTTTTAAATTAAGATTTTATATTTATTTTTTTAGTTAAAATTTTTATATTTTCTTTTAATTATAATAATTATAAACTTTTTTTAACCTAAGGATAAAATAGTAATCTTACAAAATCATCAATTAAAAATTTATTTTTATCTATTACATCAATCAATTCACTCACAAACTTTCACAAACTTTCTCTACACTTTTCACTTACTTTCCCTTAATCCAAACAACCTCACTTTCCACTCATTTTCCCTTCGAATCCCTCCTTTTTCATTCTCCTTTTTCATCCTTAAATCCAAACAAAGCCATAGTGATGGAGACATAGGAGGAAGGAGGCCCACTCTGGGACCTTTACTGCCGACTTAGTTAACCACCAGAGATTGATTGACATCTTATTTCCACCTGCCATGGAGATTGGAGAGGACGGCAATTCAACACCATCATTTTTCCTTCTTATTAACGGATCTTATATCTTAATGTAAAAGAGCAAGAGAGAAGGTCAAGAATTAGGATTAAAATTAAGAATTTCAGTGTTTGATAACATTGAAATGATGAGGAAGAGAAATTAAAAAAAGTGTGATCTTAGTATATCTTTCACCTTTTTCTTTTTATTTTCCCACAAAATAGCCAAGAAATTCTACCATGCAAATTGTAGAAACAAATCTAACAGATTAATATAAATATGCAATTGATTGTAGTTTTCTTTTCTTGAGAAATTTATGTTTTAATAGTTGAATCGATCAAAATTTTGATTCAATTGATTAAATAAAAAATAATCTTTTTTTTTTTTTTACTTTAATCGATTGAATTAAATTTTTGTCAATTATTTAATTAAAGTTGAATTATTATTTTTATTTTTTCTTTTTTTTAACCAAACACCTTTATTTTTATTCTAAGTATTTATTACTTATTTCTTTTCATCTATCAAACAGACATATGGAATAAAAGAAATAATATAATCATACCTACTTATAACTCGTGTCAATTTATACTCAGAGAATATATATATATATATATATATATGAGAAAATATTGAATGGTAGTGAGGATATGGTTGTGATCATTCAGAAATAACTCCCCAGA